TTGTTGTTGTTGTTGTTGTTGTTGTTGTTGTTGTTGTTGTTGTTGTTGTTGTGCAGATCGCCAGCATGGATTACGGCTATGGCATCCAGGTAAGTACCGCTGACGCAGGTATGGCCTCCGCCACTGATCTTCTTCTTCTTCTTCTTCTTCTTCTTCTTCTTCTTCTTCTTCTTCTTCTTCTTCTTCTTCTTGTCGCTGTTGCTGTTGTTGTTGTTGTTGTGCAGGTTGCCAGAGTGGAGCACGGCTATGGCGCCCAGGTAAGTACTGCTGATGCAGGTATGGCCTCCGCCCCTCTTCTTCTTCTTCTTCTTCCTCTTGTTGTTGTTGTTGTTGTTGTTGTTGTTGTTGTTGTTGTTTTTGTTGTTGTTCAGGTCGCCAGCGTTAAGCACAGCTATGGCGCCCAGGTAAGTACCGCCTCCGCACCTCTTCTTCTTCTTCTTCTTCTTCTTCTTCTTCTTTTTGCTGTTGTTGTGCTGGTCGCCAGCATGGAGCACGAGTATGGCGCCCAGGTAAGTAGCGCTAAGGTAGGTACCGCCTCCGCCCCTCTTCTTCTTCTTACTCTTCGTCTTGTTGTTGTTGTTGTTGTTGTTGTGGGTGTTGTTGTTATCTTTGTTGTTGGTGTTGTCGCTGTTGTTGTTGTTGTTGTTCTGCAGATCGCCAGCGTGGAGCACGGCTATGGCGCCCACGTAGCTACCGCAGACGCAGGTATGGCATCCGCCCCTCTTCTTCTTCTTCTTCTTCTTCTTCTTCTTCTTCTTCTTGTGCAGGTCGCCAGCATGGAGCACGGCTATGGCACCCACGTAAGTACCGCTGACGCAGGTATGGCCTCCGCCCATCTTCTTCTCCTTCTTGTGGTTGTTGTTGTTGTGGTTGTTGTTGTTGTTGTTGTTGTTGTTGTTGTTGTTGTTKTTKYTKCTTSTTSTTSTTGTTGTTGTTGTTGTTGTTGTGCAGGTCRCCTGCGTGGAGCACGGCTATGGCCCCGAGGAAAGTACCGCTGACGCAGGTACGGCCTCCGCTCCTCTTCTTCTTCTTCTTCTTCTTCTTCTTCTTCTTCTTCTTCTTCTTCTTCTTCTTCTTCGTCTTCTTCTACTTCTTCTTCTTCTTCTTCTTCTTCTTCTTGTGGTTGTTGTTGTTGTTTTTGTTGTTGTTGTTGTTGCTGCTGTTGTTGTTGTTGCCGTTGTTCTTGTTGTTGTTGTTGTTGTGCAGGTCGCCAGCATGGAGCATGGCTATGGCGCCTGGTAAGTACCGCTGTTGCAGGTATGGCTTCAGCCCATCTTGTTGTTGTTGTTGTTGTTGTTGTTGTTGTTGTTTATGTTGTTGTGCAGGTCGCCAGCGTGGAACACGGCTATGGTTCCCAGGTATGTACCGCTGACGCAGGTACGCCTTCCGTCCCTCTTCATCTTCTTCCTCTTCCTCTTGTTGTTGTTGTTGTTGTTGTTGTTGTGGTTGTTGTGGTTGTTGTTGTTATCATTGTTGTTATTGTTGTTGCTGTTGTTGTTGTTGTTGTTCTGCAGGTCGCCAGCGTGGAGCACGGCTTTGGCGTGGCGCACGGCTTTGGCTCCTAGGTAAGTACCGCTGACGCAGGTATGGCTTCCGCCCCTGTTCTTCTTCTTCTTCTTCTTCTTCTTCTTCTTCTTCTTCTTCTTCTTCTTCTTCTTCTTATGCAGGTGGCCAGCGTGGAGCACAGCTATGGCGCCCAGGTAAGTACCGCTGACGCAGGTACGGCCTCTGCCCCTCTTCTTCTTCTTC